GACAATATATGGGGCTTACTTTGCAACCCCATCCCCCCCCCCCCCCCCCCGTGCGCATGAAAATGAAGCGAGGACGTACTAATCGTAATGACCAGACTGTCTGGGAGTGAATATGACAAATATTCTATGTTCGCTATGCGACAACAGAGGCTTCCGGTCACCATCATTGTATGAACAAACTTTGCCCCCCCCCCCCCCCATATTATCGCAGTGCAGTGTCTGAGTTGGGAACCAATATATTTCTTTGTCAGTTTTCGCTTTATTGTCAGGCTCAGTCATTGAATCATAGCAGCTGGTCGTAGGGAATGCTGTGTGCGATTGGGTGGGGGGGGTTGACCGTTCACAGGAGCAGTTCCTTCCAGCGTTCCAAAAAGAATAAAGAGAAGAAATTTCCGCGCGAACACGGTTTCGTAACACGTTGTAATACAAACTGCTGCTATTTATGCAACCCGAACAACACTGCACGGATTTAGCGAGTACAGGCGCGCTACACCGCAGCACGATAGACAAACAGAAACAAGCAAAGTATAGAGAGATCAAAAGCGAGGGGCGCCGCGCCATTCAAAGTCTTCTCTCTTCCTCCTTGCTCCCTTCGATCCTCCTGTCACACGCGCCATTCGACGCAACAACGGCACCCCCCCCCCCCCCCGCCCCGGACGACAAAATTCCTCGCGGGCAAGAGCGCCGCCTGGGTGCACACTCGGGCAGTCGGGCTTCCCCGCTCGGCAACTGGGTAACGCGGTGTAACACGCTTGCGCGCACTGCTACCAAGGGAAGGCGAGGGTGGCAACTATGTGTACACGCACGCAAGTACGCACGCGCCAGTGTGCGATCGTTGTTTCCCCAAAGCCCCTCACCACCCCTCCCGCCGCATTTTTGTGTTGTTTTTCATCCGTGTATCCATTTCGCTGGCTTCGCGTCGAAATAGCGAGCGGACCTCGCCTGTTCCGGCATTATGCGCACGCACGTACAATGTAGCGAAGGGAGAACGAAAATCGAAGTAAAATAAGGCGCACGGATACAAAGAAGCTATGCGAGCCGATTCTCTCTCTCTCTCACTTGCTGCGTTCGGAGACATAGAAGAACCAAAAGCGAGATTCTAAACACGCACACACAACGGCTATATCGATCCGGAGCTGGCTAGGCCTAGGCTCCGCCTGTCGCCATGTGTTCCGTTTCTTTAGCGCACTGCCAACGGCGGGCTGCGCTGCATGACAGCAGAGCAATGCGGCGAAGCGGAGTTGCTGTGCGCTCGAAAGCAGTTTTTTTTTTTTTTTTGTCTCGCTTTTACTTCACTGTTTCCCTCCATTTTCTCGCATTTACGAAGTCGGGGGCTGGTATAATCGACGTCATGTATGTCCTGAAGTAATAGCCGTTTTTAAGTTTTTTTTTTTTGTCTCGCTTTTACTTCACTGTTTCCCTCCATTTTCTCGCATTTACGAAGTCGGGGGCTGTTATAATCGACGTCATGTATGTCCTGAAGTAATAGCCGTTTTTAAGCTCGAATTTGTTCAGCCAGAATGAAGTTTGGTGTGTCGGTGTGCATACTAATTGCGTAAGACGGAAACAATGAACAGAATGTAATCAACAGAAATCGGGTCGCTGATTGCAACCGGTTTTCCTAAGCGCCGATTACAACACTGCGCGTTATCACGGTAACGCTGTCGTTCGTGTGCTTGCATACCGACTCGACAAACTCATCCATCTGGTTGCAACGACATGTCACGTCGAAGATTCTCTTCGCTTGTTCACGGCTGCACATGACGATTGCTTTCGTCTGTCGGCTATTGTTTCACGTTAGTACGTGTTCACTTTTCATTCAATCATATATACATTGAACAATGTTTTCTACTACAGTGTGCGTACGTTCAAGTACACGTGTACTATTTATGGTTGTTTGTTTCGAAACGCTACACCATGTTAATCTGTACGTACGGATGACCCGCGTGCTTCATGCGTCGTTCCAAAACACTTGTTACGGTCGGGTTTGGAGCCCTAAGCGTATGCGATGATGACGTACGTTAGTGGTGGTGTCAGTTCACTGCTGCACGCCCATTTAAAAAAGTACTGCTGATCCCTGCGTACCATCCGCGTCAAATGCGCACATATACAGCGTTCGTATTCCTACAGTCTACCGCAATGCGGCAGATGTCTCCTTCTATACAACGGAAACTGCGCTAGCAGCAGCGATAAGTGAGCTTTAGAAACGGAAAGATCCTATAGTCACGGTATCGCCGTAGTCGTGATATAGAAAACGTTATCACCTGTTTCTTTTAGGTATTGCTGCGCAGCCGACGCCGTTAGAGCTCCTATACATACACGCTACATGTAAGGTAACTCTGGACTCCGTTAGTTAACGATTATGTATATATTGCTACTTCACAACGCGCTACACGTTCTCTTCAATGTCCGCGCAAGCCCCTTCATTTCTCTATTAGTAACACACTCAACACAGACATTCTCATGAGGGAATACAAGCTTGCGTCCGCTCATCTAAAACCCGTTACATCGATCCAGCTCTAATATACATCTGAACTTCAATTTCAGCCTCTCTAAATCTCCCCATCTAGATCATTATCTAGCTAAGACTCCATTTCTTTTGGGGCTAGTTGATGAAATGCTGTCTAATACACGCAACATACAGACGCAGAAAACAAGACAGAACAAAGCAATATGGCAAGGTGAGTCTGCCTCTCGACGTTTGGGCGGGCCTATTTACACGCCTATCAAACGTTCATATACAGCGTCCAGCAGCTGAGAGCCTCTTAATAGAGCGATTGTGTAGCAGTACGTCCCCTGGAACGGCTGGCAACGTTCCTCCGCGACGGCTTATCACGAAACTGCTCAGTGAATTGGAGCAACGACGGAGAAAACGCCTTCACGGAGGCCACGTCTCTACATAATAATTGCTGGCACAGCGCCATCACCACGAGGTTGAGCAGTGTATACACTACTCACTATACCTCGCTTCCTTCTAGACTAGTATTTCGAATTGTGCGATCTCGTCGCTACGCTCGTGCAAAAAGTTCCTGCAACGAAATTACTCTTGAACAGACGCTGCGGTTGGAGAGCTTATTTAGATAATCGAGCACTTTATGTAAGAGGTTTGACGTCGGCGAACCGCGGAAGAGGTCTTTCAAACGAGCGTGGTTGCTGGCTGCGCCTGCTTGGCCGAACGTTTCACCTTGACTGACCTTGTGTCTATACGCTTTCGCATCTGACGGCAGCAAGCCAGTGCAAGACGCTCTGTTACGTTAGGCGTTCTTGGGGGAAAAATAGCAGCTAGGGAGCACATCTGCACCCGATGACGCGTCCCCTAATGCGCAAGAAAAAGTTGTAGCTTCCCTCCGGCCTCTGCGTTAAAGAAAAAAAAAAACAAGTGCAAAGTTCGTTCTTCCATGCCATCTGTCGACTCCAGGCTTCACATCAAATGGTCCTACTTCCCCTCTGAACGGACTAATATAGACCACATCTCCAACGTTGCTACCATTACCGCTAGGCAACATGAGGCGGTGAGGAAAAAAAAAAGAAGCAAAGATGGGACATGAAACGGAGGAACACTTCCATCAGAGTTTCACAAAGAAAACGGCTAGAGGAAAGGAGATTAAAGAGGAAGGAAGAAGATCGGAAACAACGAAGCTCGAAGGAAAAGGGAGAAACCAATCTCTCTTTCTCTTCCTCCAAAAGGAAGCTGTCAAAAAACGCAGCGGAGGAAGGCTCGCGACAGACGATGAAATCTCGGCTGGCAATGACGTGACGTCAAAGCACCGCGTGACCGGCACGGGCCAATAAGGAAGCAAGGTCGAGGATGTCTGATCCTGCTGGCTTCCCACTTCCTCCTTCTATCCTCTTGCGTTTTTCTCCGCGCAACCTCCGCGTCACTGGTGTAGGGCAGCGCCAGATGGCGACACTGAGCCCCTTGTTGAATCTTTCGCTTCACCTTGCACCCCTCGGGAATGGAAATGGATCAACCGAAACACAGACAGTGCACGAGCGCGATGCACGTCTCTCTTAACAAGTTACCACACATAGAGGTACACTTGAGGTACGTACAGGCTAAAAGTTGCCGCGATGGGTTGAAGTTGTGTGCAGTGAATCGAGTTCCTTGCATGTCAAACATCTCGTGGGCACGGCCTCCATTGAGCGTAGTGAGCCGGTGCAGGGTCAATTACATCGTCGCTGTCATGTCTCGCATATGTAACACGAAACATCACCTACAGAGCGCGTTCCGTATGGACTTACTGTATATGCTACCTTTAGGTAGCATATGCCTAAAGGTAGCATGTATAGTAACTCTAGTTCCGTACGGCAACACACGCTATTACAAAGTCACGCCAAAACAGTCGTTTCGAGCGTAACGTCGCTGTTTACTGAACAAAAACAGCTCTCCCAATCAGAAATATCAAGCAATATATATGTAATATATAAAGTCATCAGAGTGAATACCAACGGAGAACAGCTGCGTATTTGCAACGCCCAGCAGGCGCCTTGTATAATCGCGATGCGAAGGTTTAATTAAAGGCCGAACAACTTAACAACAATAAGACGTCGAAGCTGCTCGCAATTTACAATGCTATATGTGTCACCAGCCGTGGGCTGCCTACTGTACAATGCTCCGTAGCCAAGATTGAACACGAAACAGGTGCTGAGGGACCTCAGCTGTTTTTTGTTTTGTTTTTTTTAAAGAATAGTGGCACAATCGGAGGGTTTTGTTTTCTTTTTAAAAGCACGTGCCAGCCCAGCAAGCTTCTTTTATTTGTTTTATGCTTTCGTGGGCGACAATATCTGGCTAAAGAAAGCGATCTATCGAAGCTAGACGTCACTCCACGTTTAAAACAAGATCCAGGAAATTGATTACTCATCCCCAGCATGCGAACTAGCTCAAGTGCATTTTTCTCTATCTCACTCACAATTCATGCCTCCTTTAAGGTGCCTAAAAATAAACCAATAACACGTACACAGAGGGAAAATAAACAGTGCAAGAGGACGTAATGTACTACCTCCGGCCTTTATTTTAGGTCGCTATTGCAGCGGTCGTCGGCGACTCGAAGTCTTTTTTCCACGTCACACTGCCGCGGGATCACTAGCACCTGCAGGCCGTTCAGCGAACGAAACACTCTTGACGCTGTTCCTCGTTAACGTAACAAGCAATACTCACGCCCAACCCCACAGCACAGCACGCTTGCAGCTAGCACGCGACCACAACATACCTGCCAGCCAGTTTTGCTTGTTGTTTCGCCTCCGTTTCTACGCAAACATTCATCCCGCAGAAAAAATATTACGTTTTAAAAACAAGTTATAAAAACAATTGAAGCATGAATACTCAATTATTAAATAAGGCGTGTTTTGCTTGATAAATAAAATGAATTTAAATAAAGTTAAACTACTTTTGCAAAAAATAAATGTTTACGTTTGTGTGCTGCTTTCATGATGGCGGCTTGTAAAGGAAAATGTAGAGTGCATCGAGATACAAAAGGTAACCCCTCCTGCGGCCACCTTCTCATCTGAGGAAGGAACATGTCGTCGAGATTACAACAACAGGAAATGATTTCGTAGCAAGCTCGCACCGTCACCCAGCCGTGGTTTCCGTGGCGACTCGGGCGCTTCCGCCAGTGCCTGGTCGCGTGCTGGACGTTCTAAGCCTATTACTGGTTTGTGTGCCTGGGCCGTCCGTTTTTGTGCTTTTCGTCGCAAGCGAGCACCACGTATCTCGCCTCCATGCGCGCTGACATTTTCGGCCAGCGACTAAGCAACGTTTCGCCGCGCTGCCACGGCTCGTCCCTCACCGGCTGATGCCTCGCGTGAGTAAAAAAAAAAAAATCTAAAAGAGATACCCGAAAGTTGTGTGCATCTGCCGACCCACGACTGTGTCGTCTTGCACTTCTGTGAGCACGCCTTCTCTCTTTTGACACAGCTGTCCTTTCTGCTACGTTTATTTCTACCCTCTCTGGCTTTTTGAACTTCTCTCTTTGCGTTTGGGAGTCGATCTAGTTAGAGGGGCCTAAAATTGTTCGACTGCGCGTAGTGGCAGGGTCTGTGTGTGTGAAAAAGTGCGCCTATGTCGCGCTTTTCCTAGGCGGCCTCGATGTCCTTCATGGCGGGTCACCGTTTACGTAACCTCTGCTGGTTCTTTTTTCTTGTTGTTGTTGCGCCTTCTATCTCGACGGCCCTCGTGCCGGCGCACCACCACCTCTACCACCGAGCTACGATAGCTGAGCTGCGCACCGATGGTGTCGCACTACTCTTTAGGAACCCTTTCGCTCCTGTTCGAACATCGACTTCTGCCAGGTTAGGTCTGGGCGCTATCAGTGTCGGGTCGATGCTTGTTAGCGCCCCCCCTCCCCGTCCGCCGTTGTTTTCGGCGGCACCTCGTACTGTTGTCGCGGAATGTTTCGATGATTGGGACAGCTGTGTGGATGGTGTCGCACAAGAGAAAGCCACGTATTTTGACCCTTTCCGTCTCGAGCAGGGGGGCATTGTCAGAGCGCGCGCCTTCTCGTAACGTGGCGAGGCCGCCGACCCGTCCTGGAATACGTGTTTTGCGAAGGGAGCGAGCCAACCGTTTGTGTGGTGCGATGTGCCAGCTATTCTTTGATTAGAGGGCGGGAAAAAGAAAGAAGCCGATGTAGGAATTGAAGATATTAGTCGCGTCCGAGTGCGTTGCCACTGAGACTAGTGCGATTTCACTTCGGAAGGACGCTAACGACAGCTGAGGATCTATTTAGCGGAGAGAAAGATCTCCTTTCCGGGCTGCACAAGAGTAGAAAAGCTAACGTGACAACCTCGGCCGTGCATTTTTTTGTGGGGGTCAACAGCCCAGAGACGATTATGCTAGCTCACAGGGAGCCTTCGTTGACATGGTGCATGTTAGGGAACTGTAACTGAGCGTTTTTAGTAATGATTTTGGGGGTTTAGTGTCCCAGATCCGCGATATTTTACAAGACTTCCAGTGTACCTACCCTTGGCTACGCCACTGACAAAACGTAATTTCTTTCCTTGGGCACTGCGAATGTAGCGGCTGTATCTGTTGCTTGTCTCTCGGTCCTGCCTATCGCTGTGTGGTCGATTAGAATTTCGCAACCCATATCCCCCGTCTTCGTAATCTTCTCACCACTGTTACCCCTCCGCAGCTACGAGCTGCTCATTGTGTTAAGTCCCGGCAGGAGCATTCTTTGTCGCACGTCGGTGCCATTTAGCGTCCGCGTTTTGTCCTTCCCGAATTTTCGACGATTTGCTGTGTGTGGCTGATTTCTGTGCTGGCTTTAATCTCCACTGCCGTCTGCATGGCTCAAGTGGCCCGCAATAATTTTCTTTCTCTTTACAATTGAAGCATGTTCTTTGGAATTGGTGCAGCGCTGATTTTTTTCCCCTGTTCATATACGGTGTGGTTTCTACTGCAACTTTGGTACCATGCCTTAATGCCCTGTTGTTCGGTCGTTTCTTCACTGTGCTATATGTATATATATGCACGTCTACCTACGACCCGATTTTAACCGTATTGAACGACTCGTAGTCACGCACTGCAACGGATGTGCAAAGCACTGTTCTGCACTCCGTCAGCTGCACCATTTCCCTTAATGTTTGCACAATTCTGCCTTTAGCCTACTTGCTTGATCTTGTTAAAAATCTGGGTAATCGTGGCCGTGGTTGCAAATGTTTAGATACGACGGCATAGGGAATAAATGTGTGTGGGGTCTTCGATTCATCGTCTGGGACTTAACATCATTGAGCATTGGAACTCCCCGATTTTTTTTCCTGCTCGTTCAAGAAAAGAAAGTTGACCACTATGCCACGTTGATCAAGTGCGTAACGTGATTGTGCTTCATGCAAACTTCACCTCTGGCTCTCTCACCAGGCCGTGAGAAGATGCTTCCCGGCATGTTTGTGCTGTCCAAACTGTGCCTAGAACTGCACAAGTTCACACTTGATATTCCACATAATGTGTTGTTGGAATCGGAGTGAGTGCCCACTTTATAGAACTGTGCAAGGCTTCTTACAGAACGCAGCTGCAAAATGTGGGTCAGTAGCGTCTCTCATAATCATATGGTGGTTTTGGGACGTTAAACCCCACATATCAATCAATGTGGGTCAGTAGGGTATTGTGAACCATTTGTTCGTAACCATGTTGCTTGCATGTCTGTGTAAAAATCAAACGTGAAACTAGTGGATGTCACTTGCCCTTGGGGTTGAGGCAGTTGTTAAGGGCCTTCAATTCAATAAGTGGACGACAGAATTCTGGTGAGAAACAAATTGGGCAATGCTCCATTGTCATTCTCTTTCATTGCATTTGGTGTGTACTCTTGCGGCACCAGTGTTAAAACATGTCAAATCGGCATAGTTCCAAGCTGCCTAAATCTTCCTAGTGCAAATGTTGAGGTAGGTAGTAGGACGTATATTGGTGCACTATCTAGTGACTCAAAATAATTGGTAATTAAGTACTTGGAGTGGGCCATATTGTTGTGGCTGCAAACATTGAGAGACTGAAACAAGCACACATCCTATCGAACATGGTAGTGTGGTCTGCAAATTTGTCCTCTGAAGTTATGCGCAGCAACTAAGGGACGCAGAGTGAACAGGAATGAACAATATGAAGTGGCCCAATTTCAATTATTCACAGATGTGCGGATGTAGTTCTAAACAATGCCCCCCTATGTTTTTGTCATTACGTGTAGGCAGTACAGCCGAGTGGTGGATGAAGCCGCGTTGGCAGTGCACAGTTAAAGCACATGGAAAATGATGCTGACAATAAGCCCCGCAGCACTTGGCCGAGCATCACCTCGAGGGAATATATTGTAACTCTGCACTATGTTGTCTAGCAAATTTCACACAGATGCTCTGTTGCGCTCACTTTCTGTCAGGTTTGAGGTTTTCATATTGCCCATGGTACATAATTGTATCCAAGCAGGGCCAATGTTTGTGCATACTGTTGTGCTTCACTGTAGTAGTGTTGATGTACAGAGAACAATAGAAGCACAATAAGCCATGCCACATTATATGAGAGCATGAATTCTCATGTAAAGGTAATAAAAGATGGTGCCATCTCTCTGTTGTACGCAACCAATGGTGCGCAGTCCACGCTGCAATACTACTACCTTTTGAATCATTATTAGAGCAGCTGCAACGAAAACCTCCGTTAATTGCCATGTGTGGTACTGCTGTGCATATACATAGTTGATGTGAAACAGAATTCCCATTTGGCTTGCAATTGTTGGTAGTTTCTTTTTGTGGTAAAATGAAGCATTGTGTGACTTTATATTGACGGAAAAGATTTACTGACACTTTGGGAGCCTTGTTTGATTGAGCTGGTACTTCGTTAAATTTTGAATGCCGCCGTATCGTTTCTCTCAGTGCTGGCTTTTCTGCAACAGGCAGCAGATGCATTTCTGGGTTCCTCGTATTGATTGCAGTTCAATTGCTAGGTTATTCGCATGTAAATGTGACTCTGCGGCCCTGTCTGTGCAGGCTTCCCCTATGTTAGAGGCCGAGCATCCTGGTTCCGCAGCAAGGAGGTTGTGCATTACGGAGGACTTCCATGGACGGCCGTGGGATAAGGTGAGTGACACATCCTCGTGCATTTATGAAGAAATGTTCCTGGTTTGTCCCTGGGCTTCGATTTCGGCACCACATGTAAAGAAATGAGACCGATGCCACGGCTGCTCTGTCGTCTTCTCTCTAACAAAACACCATAATCTGCCGGATGATGGTACCTATGCTTGAGATGGGCCCATTTTATTCTTGATGCAACTCTAGTGTTGCTCGTACTCTCTGTACTAGTCTCGTACAGCATTGCACTGCCGAGTTCAAGGTTGTGGGCTGGAGGTTGGTGGGGGCAACTACGTTTTTACACTCATGAAATTATAAAATCACATCAAAGGCAGCATGCAATTACCATGAATAATTTTCAAGGCTATCGAAGTGCACTGAAATTTTGTTGGCTGCAGTTATAACAACAGTACATTACTCATGCATACTAAGACTTAGATTAGCGTAATTGTGACTTTTGCCTCCTTTTGCTGTTTTTCTTTATTATACAAGCAATGCGAGGCCCCAAGAAGCCACAAGTGAATGATGAAGTGCCACTGATGCTGCCGAATTAATGTAAAAACAATTAGTCCTGTGTGCTAACATGAACAGATATATTTTTGTTATAGAGCTTGCATGACGTCCAGTTTTCCTTCTTTGCCTTACGCCATTGTACCATTTCTGACCCTTGCTTTGAAG